AACACCTGTCCGTGCTTATTTAGATGAGCTGTTCCCGAATCGTTGGATAGGGAGAAGGGGGCCGATTGAGTGGCCAGCCAGATCGCCTGATTTGACACCCCTAGATTATTTCTTGTGGGGATACTTAAAAAGCAAAGTATACGTTACTAGACCGGTTAATTTAGAAGATTTAAAAGCAAGAATTCGTCACGAGATACATCGTATACCTCCTGAAGTTATTGATAATGTCCAAAAAGAATTTATTAATCGTCTTGGCTACTGTCAGGCAGCCAACGGTGCACAATTTGAACATTTAATTTAGTCGATTTTTACATAATCATTATCATTTTCAGTATTGTGAAAATTAAATTTTAAAATCTTCAAACATTATTTTCTTGAAATTTTTGTTATGTAACACCATAATTTTTCATGATCTGTGTATGTAGAATGACACGCTCTTTCAAATGGCATGGTCAAAATTGGGGGTTGCTATTTAAAAAAATTGTCGATGACGTCATATCTCGAACAACGATGACGTCACAAATATGGGTCGTATGTCAAAAAGTGTCTTTTTTAAAAACAAAATCGACGTGCCAGGGGATTTTTTCGAAAAATTCTCAATTTAAAAAATAATGAATTTATTCGTTACTTTTCAAAAGCACTGTATATTGAAGCATTGATGAATACACATTATAGCTATATTTTAGGCACAGATGTATTTACATTTTTGATTATTTATATGTTATTTGCAATAGGAAAAAAAATTTTGTTATAAAAATAAAAAAATTTAAATTCTTATTTTCCCTATTTTTGATTGCAAGTTTTAGGGTTTTCAGTAGGGTTTTTTAAAGGTTTGATAAAATAAATACATTATATGTATTTTGAATAATAAAAAGATTGTATTATATTTTGAACTAAAAAAAAAATAACTATAATTGTTCGATTTTTTACAAGGGGTGGTTTTTATATTAAAACAGTAAAGAAATCTTAATTTAATATCACAAAGTATATGTTTAAATTATTCCAAGTTGCTAAATAATATTTTTCAACATTAAGT